CTCCATCCCACCCCTTACCATCACCCCCAACATCTTCCCTGTGTCCCAATCCCTCTGACCTCCATCCCACCCCTTCCCATCACCCCCAACACCTTCCCTGTGCCCCCTACCCCTCTGACCCCCCTCTCACCCCTTCCCTGACCCCTCAGCCTCCCTGACCCCTCTCCCACCATCTCTTCCAGCCTACAAGGAGAAGATGAAGGAGCTTCCCCTCGTGTCCCTCTTCTGCTCCTGCTTCCTCTCAGACCCCCTGAACAAGCCCACCTACACCTATGAAGGTAGGACCTCCCGGAGGATCAGGGGAGGCTTCAGGGAGCTGTAGACACCCCTTGGAATGAATTGGGTCACCTCCAAACCCAGTGTGGTGGCTCCAGAGTGTGGTGGGAGCAAAGGGTTGGGTTGAGGTCTTGGGGGGGGGCTTGGGTAGACCCAGAACCTTCAAGATGGTGCCAAGGGTTAGGTGTACCCAATACTCCCAGATCAGCCCCTGGAGTGTCCTGGAGATCCAGCCTCAAGCCATGACATGAAGGTTGAACCACAGGGGTGAATTTGGGTGGAACCCTTGGAGATCCTGAATGCCTGGAGAGGATCTGCAGCTGAAATGGGATCCCAGTCCCATTCCAAGTTCCCTCAGGGAGATTCCCGGCCCTCAGCTATCCCAAATATTCCTAGCTCAGCTCCTGGATGGGTGTCCTGGAGTTCCAGCCTCAACTCATGATATCAGGGGTGAACCACAGAGTGAAACCCTTAGAGATCCTGAGTGCCTGGAGAGATCTGCAGCTGGAATGGGATCATGGTCTCATTCCCAGTTCCCTCAGGGAGATTCCTAGCCCTCATCTCTCCCAAATATTCCCAGCTCAGCCCCTGGATGGGTGTCCTGGAGTTCCTATATCAAGCCAAGACATCAGGGGTGAACCACAGGGAGGAATTTGGGTCAAGTTGGGTCAAACCCATTGAGACCGTAGACTCTGGTGCCCCACTGGTGTGGGACCTCAGGATGGTTATACTGAAGGGTTGGGATTGACCCATCCCATGACTCACCACCTGCTCCTGTCCCACACAGACACAGTTGACCTCACCTGGTGTGTCATCTCTGACATGGAGGTGATTGAGCTCAACAAACGAACCTCAGGACAGTCGTTTGAGGTCATCCTGAAGCCTCCATCCTTCGATGGCATCCCAGAGTTCAATGCCTCCCTGCCCCGGCGCCGGGACCCGTCCCTGGAGGAGATCCAGAAGAAGCTGGAGGCAGCCGAGGAGAGGAGAAAGGTGAGTGTAGAATAGGGACATGCCATGAGGACACTCAACCTCATCACTCACCCAGCAAGCTACACCAACCCTTGGGGGATCCAGATCCCATCCAGCGGTTGAGTTTGGGGAGGTCATGGCTAGAGAAGGTCCTCATGGTCCTCATGGCCATGGTGTCTTCTCTGTGTGCAGTACCAAGAGGCTGAGCTGCTGAAGCACCTGGCGGAGAAGAGAGAACATGAGAGGGAGGTCATCCAAAAGGCCATTGAGGAGAACAACAACTTCATCAAGATGGCCAAGGAGAAGCTGGCGCAGAAGATGGAGTCCAACAAGGAGAACCGTGAGGCACACCTAGCAGCCATGCTTGAGCGCCTGCAGGAGAAGGTGAGACCCAAGGGAGAGGATGTGGTGGTTTGGGCACCCTGCATGGCTCTTGAGGTGGCATCACCCCCTGGGGACACCACTAGGGTGAGGCTTTCTCTTCCCTCCCCACCATGAAGGAACCTTAGAACCATCAAGGTTAAAAGTGACCTCTAAGATCATCAAGTCCAACCATTCAAAGACCCAAATGCAGTATCCCCTTGGGATGGGAGGTCTTACCTGGAGATCCACCAAGCCTGATGCATCCATAGGCTCATGAGCTTTGGAGAGTGGAGAGCTGTGACCTTTGTCTCGTCCACAGACAAGCAAAGCCTTTACCTTCCCCATGTTCCACCATGATGGCCTGAAAATCATAGAATCCAGGATGGTTTGGGTTGGAAGTGACTTGAGGACCATCCCATCCCACCCCTGCCATGGGCAGGGACACCTCTCACCAGCCCAGGTTGATCCAAGCCCCATACAGCCTGGCCAGGGATGGAACAGCCACAGCTGCTCTGGGAATTCCATCCCAGCCCCTCACCACCCTCCCCGGCAG